CTTTCATAAATTTTAGATAAAATTGGTAGCAAGGAAATCGGTCTATAGTTTTTGAGGTCCATTTTACTTCCCTTTTTATGTACCGGAAGTACTCGTGCAACCTTAAGCTGATCAGGAAACAGAGATTGTTCCACACACTTATTGAAAAGATAAGCTAAAGGTTCAGCCAATATATCAATATTATCTTTAATAATTTTGATGGGTATTTCATCATAACCATGTGATCTTTTATTTTCCATTTGCCTAACTGTTTTTAAAATTTCATGGCTAGTAATAATCTTAAAAGGCATGTCTGTTACAATTTTCTGCACACATTGTTTGAGAATTATTTGTTTTTTTTTTTTTTTTTTTTTATAGAAGAAGGGGCAAACGAGCATGCGGCTCACCTGATGTTAAGTGACTACCGCCGCCCATGATCAACCGCAACACCAGGAGAATTGCGGGTGCGTTGCCGGCCCTTTAGAAGGGAGTAAGCTCTTTTTTTGAAGGTCCCCAGGTCGTATCGGTCCGGAAAAATCGAAAAATAAACTATTCCACAGAGAGGTTGTACGTGGAAGAAAACTCCTTGTGAAACGTACAGTGGTGGACCGCCAAGCATCCAGATGGTGTGGATGGTATCGGGACGTTTGACGTGTAGTGCGTTCACGAAATTTGGCGGCTGGGATTAATCCAAACAATTCCTCAGAGCACTCCCCGTGATAGATGCGATAAAATACGCAAAGAGATGCAACATCTCTTCGCAGCGCCAGTGAATCGAGCCGATCGGAAAGCACTCGGTCGTCGACGATTCGAGCCGCTCTGCGCTGGATGCGGTCAAGTGGAAGAAGCTGGTACTGGGGAGCCCCAGCCCAGAGATGGGAACAGTATTCCATGTGCGGTCGAACCTGCGCCTTGTAAAGTTGCAGGCGGTGTGCCTGCATGAAATACTGTCCCGCTCTGCTGATCACGCCAAGCTTTTTAGAGGCCAATTTGGCTTTCCCTTCCAAGTGACCACGAAACTGCACGTCACTCGATATGTCGACGCCGAGGATTCCGATACTGGCTGAGGCAACAAGGGGAGTGCCTTGAAACTGAGGGGATACGACAAAGGGGTTCTTTTTAGCGGTTAACGCGCAAACTTGTGTCTTCTGGGGGTTAAACTGGACTAGATTTAGTCGCCCCCAATCCGAGACTCTGTGCAGCAGAGACTCGACTTCAGACACAAGTTTGTCCCGGCACTCGGAGACGTTTTCCCGAGAAATATTGGCTCGGCCGGTGTAAAGAGCATCACCAGTGCAGTCATCTGCATAGTAATGAATGTTACGGATATGCAACATGTCATTGATATGCAGAAGAAACAGCGTTGGCGATAGCACGCAGCCCTGTGGAACACCAGCATTAATAGGCTTGCAATCGGAGCTTGCACCGTCTACAACGACCTTGATGCTCCGATCTGCAAGAAAGCTGGTGATCCAATCGCACAATTTCTCGGGAAGCCCATAGGAAGGGAGCTTCGAAAGAAGCGCTTTGTGCCAAACCCGATCGAAGGCCTTATCAATGTCCAAACTAACGACCAATGCCTCCCCCTTGAACTCTACTGCCTCCGCCCATCTGTGAGTTAGGTAGACCAGAAGATCACCAGCTGACCGACCACGGCGGAAACCGTATTGGCGGTCACTAATCAGCTGGTGATCTTCAAGGTACCTCATGAGCTGGCAGTTTACAATAAACTCCATTGTTATGGAGAACAAGGAGGTGATGGCGATTGGCCGGTAGTTGGACGGGTCAGAGCGGTCGCCTTTTTTTAGGGATCGGGTGGACGTAAGCCGTCTTCCATGATTTTGGGACTACGCCTAGGGAGTAGGAGTACCGGACAAGACGCGTTAAAACCGGTGCCAACTCTGGAGCACACGTCCTCAGCACAATTGGGGGGATTCCGTCAGGCCCACTCGACTTGTGGATGTCCAGGGAGAGGAGTGCTTTGCGAACCGAGCGCTGTGTGAAGTGCACTTTCGGCATGGAGCACTCACACCGCGGGATGGTCGGCGGAGTACTCCCCCCGTCATCGAGAGTCAAGTTAGACGCAAAGAAAGAGCCTAGAAGATCGGCTTTCTCCTTTGCGGTATGGGCCAGTGAGTCGTCCTCCCTGTGCAGAGATGGAAGAGATGGCTGACAGAAATTCCCCTGGACAGCCTTGGCGAGAGACCAGAATGCACGGGTTCCAGAAGGAAGGCGAACTAGTTTCTCGCCAATTCTGCCTATGTGCTCTGACTTTGCCTTGGCAATGACTCTTTTGAAGGACCTAGAGGCGGAATTATACTTCTTTTTTAGAGCGCTGGTGTTTACATCCCGGGACGCTGATGCATCAGCCCAGGCTTGGTAGCACTCCTGCTTATAGCATGATGCTATTTTACAGGAGCGACCAAACCATGGCTGAGACTTGCCTCCTATGGGCACCACAGAGGAAGGAATAAAAAGTTCCATACCCTGAAGTACCACATCAGCAAGAGAATCCGCAACAACGTTGGGATCATCCGGCGAGAAGCAAACCCGCCCCCAAGGGTAGGATGCAAAGAAAGACCGCATCCCATCCCAATCGGCTGACCTATTGTGCCAAACACGGCGGCAGCCTGCAGAATGCAACCACGATTTCAGCGTGAGCCTAAAGGGGCGTCGACGGAAATCTGATATCCGTCCGGGTGAGAGGTCAGCAGAAGGTCCAACAGGGAAGGTGCATGATCCTCCACATCTGGAATCCGCGTAGGCGAAGTAACCAGTTGTGTCAGACCATATGCCAAGGCAAAATCATGAACAGATCTCCCCGCATGATCGGTTAAACATGAACCAAGCCATTCGGCGTGATGGGCGTTAAAGTCGCCGAGGATCACAATCTCTGCGGAGGGGATCTGCTGTAGCAACGAATCTGCAGCCATTTGGACGTGGTCGAATAGTCAGTCTGTTTCGGCATTACCGCTATGGGACCTATAGAGGCACCCGTAGACGCGCGGATGGGATGGTCGTCGCTGTCTACGCGTAGCCAAATAATGGACAGGTCTGAACCTTCAAGTCTGCCGAGGCGTCGAGAGCAGATGTCCTCTCTGACGTAAACGCAAACTCCAGCCCGAGGCACAAAGGAGTGTTCCAGTTTGTACCCCGGGTAGGAGAGATACGAGACATCAGCCGGAGAGGACACCTGCGTCTCGGTCAGAAAGAGCAGAGCCGGCCTCGCCGTCTCGAGATGGTAGTGGACGGCGTTTAGGTTAGAGTGAAGTCCCCTGATATTGCAGAAATTCACGGACAGCGTGGCAGAAGTCGCCTTGGTCTTGTTGATCCGTTTGCCCCGAGCAGTTGTAGTCTTGAGCGGAATTTTGCCCCCCCCCCCCCAGAATATGCGGGGCAGCTTGAGCACCCACGCTCAGAAGTGGAGAAACATGGTCGTGGATGCTCAGCGAGGGATTCTCCAGGGGTGCTGGTACCCTCCTGGGGTAGTCGATCATTATTTAATTCCGCTACCATGTTGATGGGGGGGGGGGGATTTGGGCCTTCGGCCACCTGCACTCACCAGACGAAACTCGGAAGCAGAGCTTCCACTTCACGCCGGTATTCTGTGAGGTCGTGGTACCACCCCGGTTTGAGCCGGCCCATACGTGCAACAGCAAAGCTGCCGCGTGGCTCTACCACTGTTAATATTTGTGCGGAGATTGAATCACTAGCGTTGTTGCTTACTGAATTAGTTTCACTTTAGTGACTTGAGAAAACATTTACTACATCCTGTTCATGACTGTTGTTATTGATGTTATTGTTTACCTTTAGTAGTATATTTTCTTCTTTTTTACGAAACGAATTTTTCCTACTTCCATTTACTATTCTAGATTTCTATATTAGAATTTAAAGCCGACTCAATTTTTCTTTGTATAGCAATTTGTTTTGCTTATTATTATTATTATTTGATCTGCGTAGATAATGTCCCGAGGTAAGGTCTCATCATAACTAACAAAACGAGCCCAAACTCAGCACACATATTATTACTGTTCGAGGAGTTCCAGTTGCATTCACCGAAGTATACCTTCAGGTCACTCCATCAAGTCCGGGGGTAAGGTCGTAACTAACATAACGACCACAATCTCGGCGCACCTAGTTCTACTCGTCGAGGATTTCCAGCAGATACCGAATTGCACCTTCAAGTCAGTCCATAAAGTCCAAGATGTATAAGTATATTTATATATAAATCCTACGTACTTTTAACGAAACAATATATTGTAATAAAAATCTGAGATTATAAAAATAATAATAATATCTTACCTTGGTCAAGTAGTGTTTTACAAGTGATTTTTGGAGTATTATACAGCCATCGATATTTTTCATCACGAGCCGGTGTAACAATACAGTAATCCACAGCCCGGAATGAGTCAAAGTGTATTTAGTAAAATATATTATAACAAGGCTGCAAAAAAAAAAACACCGAAAATTTCGGACCTTCTCACCCGAAAAAATTAATTATAACTAAACAAAAATACATGATAGATGAAGAGATTAAAAAATAGATTGAGTGGAACGATTGATATTTTCAAAAGTTATCCTGTTTACCCCTCCATGTGGACTTGATGAATCTACACCCCAAGCCTAAGCTTTTTAACGTAAAAATAGCAATTAATAGATTCAAAAAAAAATATAAGTTCAACAATCATTTATCTTTCTGACAAAGTCATCATTTATATGTTCAATATGATTGTTAGATACATACGATTTCATGCGACAAAACGTCGGATTCTTGATTTTTAGGTGCTGGTAGAACATACCTACGCGCTTTCCGCTTAAGGCATGCAATAAACGATCTTTGATAATTATCTTAAATTTAAATAAAGCCACAGTAATAAATCCTGCCTAAGCGAAGCCACAGTGGAGGACACAATGGAGCTGGCTGGGTAAAATCATCAGAGTCAACGTAATGCTATAACAGTGCTGCCAAAGCCACAACGTTGTTACTCTGTGGGTGCTTCTATATAAATTTATTGTTTTAGAGCTGACCGCCCCACCACCAACTACCACCCCGTGGCGGATCCTTCGACATTTAGACACGAAGGAATGCGAGCAACGACTCCGGGATATCTGCCAGCTGCTCGCTGAAGCGGAGTGCGCGGAACTGTTGCTCGATCACCTGCTGGAGCTGTTTCAGCAAAGGGAATGCGAGGTGGCCTACATCATGAACTGTTTTGGTTCTGGTAAGTGGCTGAAGGAGGGCTAGACAAGCGATTGAACATTTATACTCTTGATAGATATGTATGATACGTTATTTATTTATTTATTCCAACAAAATGTACTTGACATTACCACAGTAATTATCTCGCCAAACTTACTTTTTCAAAATCAATGGAAAATATTTTTAGTAGTTTTACGGAAAAATATAGTGCCTGTCTGTGCCCAAATGTGCTATAGGATACCATTTTCACATGTATTGATTGATTGTGAGTGTACATTCCAAATAACATTAAAGTAATAAGATTAAAGTCAAGATGACTAAGGGATATGTCCATTTATATTTATAATATTACCAACACACACTACATAGTAAGAAAGACGTTTTAAACTGGTTGTTTAAAAAATAAATTATAATGCTACTGTTATTATAAATCATCATTTCCAAAGCAGTTTATCAATACAGGCAGACAGACAGGCGCGGCGTCAAGACTTTTTAATATGTTTTGGTTGATTAGTAAGTACTTATACATCGTAAAATGACTGGGTAATAACATACTAAAATGACTAGGTAATATACTTATCTATGGTATTATTTACTGATAAATAGTGAGGAAGTAAGATGTTTTGAACTGTTTGTGCAAGGGTAACAAAAGCATAGGTACGTCTGCTCACCACAACGCAACACCCCAAAAGCGAGTTCAAGTACAAATGCTTTGCTATATATGTGTCCTACTACGTTGATATTGATATTGTGAGTGGAATCACATATTAATTAGTATTTTCATAGCATTGGGTGACAAACGAGCAAACAGTGCACCTGATGGTAAGTGGATGCACTGCTGATATTTTACGCTGGTATTCTGTGAGGGCGTGATCTTGCCCCGGTCGAGCCGACCCATTCGTAATACAACTATAATATAGCTGCGGCGTTGTGCAGCGTGCAGCAAAATTAGTTGTTGTTTAATCAAGTAATAAAAGTGTTATGGCGGCGCTAACGTCGCGCTGCATGCGTAAACGACGTAAAACAACACACTTCACAACTTTTCTATAAAATCCGCTACCACCAGCGATTTTTCAGGGCTGACACGACTTAGAGACCTTTTAGGAAAGAGACCACCCTTTTTTAAAAGATCGGCCGGCAATGCACCTACAATTCCCAGGGTGTTGCAAATGCTCATAAGCTGCAGTTGACACTCACCATCAGATGAGCTGCATGCTCGTTTGCCCCCTCTTAGGAAACCGAAGCCAAAAAAAAATCAAGCTGGAAGTTTGCGATCTACTCCGGTTTATCTGAATAAACTATGTACGATCCCAAAGATTTTTGTATGTTCCCCTGGCTTGCCCGGCAGGTCTCCCTTTACCACTGACGGCCAAAGCTAGTTTACATAATAGAGAGAGCACCTTTTCTGTATTAAAGGCCGTCTGGCTGGGTACCACGCTGCTTTCATCCAGTTTTAAGGCTAAGTGGTTCAGTAATAATTACAGGCTCTGAGTCATTTCATGTAGTATTTAAAATATACCCATATTTTATATGAATCACTTAGTCCTCAGGGGTAACAACTCGTATTTAGTCTTCTTTGTCCATGGGAAGCAGGAGCCACTTACAATCTAGTGGACCGTTAGTATGTTTGTCACTTTTATTTTGAAGAAGAGTTGATAATAAGACAATGTTCATCAGTCACACGGTGTCTCCCGTTATACAGTGAATTTTCATTAATCATCCCTCTAAGCACGCGGATTGTTCCCACTTTGGTACTTATTGCCGTCCGTCGCCTGGCTGGGTATATTACGTCTCGCGAAAACTAGATAGCAATACCACCATTTATCAGAAGCTATAAGATTTTTCAGGCATTTCTCATAATCATACCTTTCGACCACGGAACTAAATGGCATGACGGATTTGCCGCCAATACACGGTTAACCGCAATAAATGAATTGTATTTAAATATATTAAATTTTAAACAATATTTTTACAGCACCAAATTCCTCACCGACCCTTGTTAAGCGCATACTGGACACATATTTAGAGGAGGATGTGTGGTATTTGCCGCTGGAAGTCTGCAGCTCGGAGACTCCGGTAACCAAGGAGGAGACGTTAGATGTCGAGGTTTACAACCCGAGGGCCTGGATGAAAGATAGTGTGCCAGGTGAGCAAAATCTCCAGCAATTTAAATTTAGTTCTTTGTTTTACAGATTTAATTAATATGTTTAGGCTCAGGGGCTAAGCGCTCTCTGTAAAACAGTACGTGAGTTACCCCTGTTCGATTCCCGCCGGCACTCAAAAAAAATTTAAATGCTTATTTACTACGTGCTCGGCGGTGAAGAAAAACATCGTGAGGAAATCTGTATGTCGGAGATATAAGAAAAAAATATTCGAAGACGTGTAAAGACAAGCATTGGAGCTGCGTGGCGAACATTTCCTTGTTCTACAACTTTTCGGAAATGAGAGGAGACCTGTGCTGTAGTTTAAAGATCTTACGGTTGTGAAACGCCTTTGATGTCAAGCGATGCCGACGCCCGCTTAGTTACTGACGTAGCCATGGATGTCACGAAAATGGAAATAAGTTATAAACATTCTTATAAGTTAAAAAGAATTATCGAACAAGACCATTTTTATTACTACAAGAAAAAACACAAGTGTGTTTACAAGTGTTGCTCTGCCAAATATTTTCGTGACACTTTGTTTTTATAGATTCTTAGTTTTCTGCTATTAAAATTAATTATGTAGTGTAATTCGCATTCAGATAAACGATTTTATCAAAAAAATGAGGGAAACATATACATGGTCGTCATTTGAATTCAATTTTACTTAATAATTCATTTCCGGGAGGTTTTTAAGACGTGGAAGTGCCGCGCTGCCGCGAGCACGTGGTAAACCCTTTCGAAAATGAGAGGAGGTCGTTGCCCAGCAGTGGGCCGTATAAAGGCTGTAACTTTACGTTTTTACTTTAGTAATTCATATAATTAAAACAGTAATTCACCAATAAAGATATTATATTTTCCGAAAACTACACTTAATTTTAGTTATATATGTGCTATAAAATAAGCTCGCGCCATCCACATGTATTGTGCTATCGGACTCAGTGAAGTGTGCTAGCACAAGGTCGGTGCGCCCATTCGTTTCCCAATTGTAAGGTTTAAACCATGGAGGTTAGAGAGAAGGAGAACGATCGCTGAAGAAAATAGTGTCCCAGAAATATGGACAAAATAAGTGAGGCGCTGCGATCGCTAAGTTGTCTCAGTAAAAGTCATTTTCAGCCTATTTTTCCGATCAGATGCTAAACCACTTGCACATCCACGCACAATACAATATTTTACCATTTTTTAAATGTTTCTTTTTGTCAAAAATTTAAAAATTACGGAGCATGATTATTTTTTCACCGCGAAGAAAATTTGTACATTATTCAACTAACTTCATCTACTTGTACTCATAAACAGTTAACTTCGCAGATACTACTTACCGACAGCAGTTCAGGGACAGGCGGGCTATGCTTCAGCACGTAGCGATCGCTCTCCTTCTCTCTAACCTTACTTTTAACTTGTAACTTTACTTTTATTTTTTTCACGGCCAAGTTTTTAGAAGTAAAGTTATATCTATACGTTTGAATTCTGATTCTGATAAACCATTTAACGGAAATCGCAAGGTTTTTGTTACATGTTGTATACTGAGAGTTGATCGAGAAATACACCATGTTTAGTGTAGAAACTTAACCGAGTTTCGACCACTGGATGACCGTTAGTATATATTACATATTATGTTTGCCTGGTTTAGGTCTGTTCGAGGGCGCGACGGAGACGCGGTACACGGGTATAAGCTATGCGGCGGGCCGGCATAGCGTCGCTTCGGGTTGCAGCAGCGTGGCAGCCGCGCAGCGCAACGCGGAGCTGTGCTGCTTACTCACTGAGGGTGTGGGAGCGCTGGCTTTCACGCTGCGGGACCACTTCCAGCCCTACCTATTGAAGACCTTGTGCCTTGTGCTGGAGAGAGTTGGTAACGGATTTTTTTATACTGCCCCTTATTGTATACTACTTCATCGGTCTAGTAATTGTAAACGTGACTACTGATCGTGAAGTTCCGGGTTCGAATATCAGGTCGTGTCAAAAAAAGATCAGTTATTGAGTTTTTCTCTCATGAAATTTTTAGCAGCTGCCCAAAGTCAGGATGTTGGTGATGTCTCACCTCCGTGCATCGAAAAGCACGTAAAGTCATTGATCTAGCGGCATTTTTATAAGGATAGGATTTCTTAAATTTACTGTTTTAACATTTAGGCTGGTTGAAGATTTTATCGTAATAAGTTTCATTCAAAGTTACCATCCTGTACTCCAGGCAGCCGTTACGAGCTGCTCCACCTGGCTGGTCTGAAAGCCATCAACGACATAGCACGCGCGTGCGGACACAGCTGCGTCGCCGAACTAATCGCCGCCAACGCGGATTACCTCACCAGTCAGATCACCAATAGACTCAAAAAGGTATAAAAAATGCTTCGAAAATTGGTAGATATATTATTATAATTTGATGATAATGGAACAGATTATTTTATTAAATATTGAAACTCCTATTTTGCCTACAATGCCGTGTTTCAGTTTGAAGTGTAGATAGAGTGTTGTAGATAAAGTGGGGAGAAAATGGGTATAGAGGTAGAATTTCCTCACTGTCAATCTCGCAGATTTACTAAACTGTGATGATTTCTTCTTATATTTACGCGAATACTACACATTGAATACAACTATTTATGCGGATTTTATCGCATTTAATTAACTTATTTTTAACTCCCGACTTTTCGGGTGCTTTACAGCACCCATAGTCACGTATGGGGTCACGTTGGGAATTAAAAATAAGTTAATTAAACGTGGTAAAATCCGTATAAATAGTTTTATTCAATTATTAAACTGTGGTTAGTCTAAAGGTGTCTTGACCACAGTAAGAGGAATGCTGGCAGATGTATTGGGCCTCATACTACTAGCGTACCAAACAATGTCAATGTCTAAATCCAAAGAGACCTACCTTACCTAACTATTTATTACAACTTATTTTTGTGTGATTAACCCGGCGAGCATGAGGTTAAAAAAAGTTACATCGAGAATGTGGCAGGGTGGGACATTCCCATAATTTAATGTACCATATTTAAGTTATTATTATTATTTTTACTTTGATGATTTTATTATGTAAAATAATGAATTATTTAATAGAATTAAATGAAACAAGTTCTTAATTGTGAAATTATTATTATATAATCATGTTTTTCATAAACTTTGTAATTAAAGAAACAAAAGTTTAAGGACTTACAAAAATTTATAATTTAACAAAAATACTATTCTTAGGAGTGTAAATCAACTTAAAATTAAAACATAGTGAGATCCTCCTTGTAAAAAACTTATTATTATTTTTTTTTTAATTAAAAATTATGATTAATCACCATTGTCGAGATTAGCACAATTTTCGCACATAAATTTTGCGTGCTCCATACATATGGGCTTGGCACAAGCATTCCAGGAATATTTGGTTTTTCTATCCTTCTTGTGTGGACAATCCTGACATCTGATCATATCGCCCGGGTATATTCACATGTCTAGGCGAGGGCTCACCGAACTGTTTTAAGATTCGCTGGCGGATGTAGCTTAGAATATGCTCTTTTGATTTTCTTGAATGTAGGTGTTCGTAAATCACGAATTAAAAAAATTATTAGGCACGTAAAAAATAAAATTACGAATGAATTCCGTTCTCTTGATTATGACGTTTTTGTTTGCTCGATATAAATATAATGCAAGCATTGATAGCTGCCATGTTCAAGACACCATAGAATAAAGTCGTAGCCCATCGTTTACTGTTGCGACTAACATAACACAGTATAAATGAATGAACAACAAATTTATATACTAAAATCATCAAAGAAAAAACTAATAAAACAATCATAATTCATGATCAAATCATTACGTAAAAAAAATACGTCAAAAATGAGGCAGGGTATAACATACCCGAGACTGGTTTGTCCACGAATATAACGGCCGGTGTCCCATGCCACACTGCGATCACGCCACTAACCCGCCCCACGCGCCCATTACTCCAGCTACTGAGCGAGTTAGAGTTTCCAGGCGAGGATTTTAAAAAATACACACCTTGAAATTTTATAGGGTGTGTGATACCCCCCTGGCTCATTTTATCGTAACATGTCTTTCAGCGACTATATATTACAAATTTTTAACTTTATGTGTGAACTAAGTGGTAAGACCCATTTCTGTCTGCGAGATCGTCTGGGTAATCACTCTAGTACTGGTATAAATAAAGGCTGTAAGGCATTTCATCTCAGTTCGTGGAGGTGACAACTTACAGCTTTGCTGCAAGTTTCCATGGGCTGCAATAGCCCCTTACCATCTTCAGGTTGACTGTAAGTTCGTTGGATACTTCAGTTTTAGAAGCGTAATTTAGTAACGAAACGAATTCTCATAAAATTTTAGTTGTATAATTCTGATAAATAACATTTCACAAAGAAACGTTCTGAGCACTCTTATCTATGGTTCTGAGTAAACGTAGTGATTATATACTCTTTGGTTCTAAGGGGTCCCTTCTAAATATTACTATAGTCTTTGGCAGGGTCTACAAATGTGACATTTGATTCTCCGATTCTCTCTTGGCATTTGAGAGGTTAACAAGCCTTTTATGACCCTTCGCTTCACTAATTATATAAACCTTTTATTGACTTCTACTTCAGTATCAGTTCATAACAGTCAATTACTAAATATGAACCTTTTCCATAGTAAGGGGATTTAACCACAATCCATATTCCCAAAGCTGAGGTTTATTTTTACTACTAGACCTGACAATTTAGGGGAATGTATCACTCCATGTCGTCATATGGGTCTCGTAAGATTCATCTAAAGGATATGCCAGAAACATCTTGTGGCCTCTGGCTGATAGCGACACACCATCAAATTTTTGCCAGGCGTAAAATACAGAACTTCGACGTGGTAGCATCAAAAGTGCAAAAACTCCGGTACTGCGGTTGCCAATTCAACTAACAATTGTGTGGCAATATCTTTGTTATTATTAGCTATTTTTTTACTATTATGGGCCAAATACTGGCTTATAATAGTAAAAAAAATTTTGTCCGTTTTCAGGCGTGGAACATTAAATCTGCCCTCGAGATTTTATCTGTGGTAATGGAGTACAGCGACACAAGGATACTGGATTATTTGTACGGAATAGTGGATGATGTAAGTTATCATAATTACACAATTTGAAAATCAAAAAAACTCTAATATGGAACGTCATAAAAATAATTACTGATAAAACCACACCACCACAATTTGTACACACGTATGAAGTGAAACTTCTCTGCGACATATCACGATTACAAAATAGTATTAGGTGGTGAAACTTCACAAGAAAACGTGACGTTTTTGATTTTTATTTTATTTTATTTAATAAGGCTTACCAACTAAATACATAAAAGGAACTTATAATCACATTTTTTTCGAAAAATACATTAAACATATGCATTTAAATTAAAGGTTTCCACAACATTCTTATTATAATAAAGACGTTGTTTACAGAATACATATTAAAATTTTTAAATTTGTTCAGAGTAAAAAATATGAAAGAATTTTATTTTACAATGATGGGAAAATTAAAAAACTGTAACATAAAAATAAGTCTTGCAACAATCCAAAATTAATTTTTTTAAAGGTTTTAATCTTTTCACAGATTGATTTGTAACACCTTACTAAATTTCTCCACTCCTTGATAAAGAAGTTTCGCTTCAAAAACGTTTATTACACAAAATTTTGTCCTATGTGCCGTAGAGTGGAGTGGAGAGGAGAGGATCTTGCCACTACGCCTGGCTTGGATTTGAATATGAATTGGAGCGAACATTTGTTCAAAAACTGATAAATAAATAAACATAATTTTCTTGTCACTTTAAAATGTGACAAGAAAATTATGTTTACATGTGACGTGAACATTACTAAAATATTTACTATAGTCTGTTATTTTTAACAAACGAGTCCTGGGTATGTCTCTTGCACATTTCCCATATTGACAGAGTTCTTCCTGATTGAATACGGTATGTGTAATAAATTCCTCATTCTCATTCATAACTAAACAAGAAAAAAGTTAAACATGTTGTGTGCAGTTCATACGTGGTAGAAGTGAAACCTTCAGAAAAGGATACCGAGATGTTAGGAAACACTGTATACTGTATTCTCTCTCATTCTCTCAGAGTGAGATGGGTCATTGTTAGGGTTGGGGCCAACGCCTTTGTTCTTGTTTTGAAATAGTAAAGGTCCGTTAATTTTGAATACTTCTAAAATTTATTGTAGAGAAAATTAAATTATTTTTATATATAATTTTATAAATAAATAACAATGAAACAGTATTGGATATAATATAAATACGTAGGTTATTTTACATCATGTAGAAAGTTAACAAGAAATATTGATTTCTATTTATAAAAATGCAATATAAATTTTTTATTTCAATTTTAAGAATAATTTCTTTTGTCTGTGCCTCAAATCTGCAAAACGCTGTCCGCCATATTAATTAAATAAAGTCGTGACTTCACTCGTTGAGAGAACTTGCTAATGTGCTGTGTTAATTCGACATTTTTCTTGTTATCATTACGATTGATGAGTTTTATTCTGAATTTTATTGAAAAGGCATAACAAGTACTAATCTACCAAGCATAAATACATTGACGGTAACACACATATTTCGACAGTACATAGTTATATATACTATATATATATATATATATATATATATATATATATATATATATATATATATATATATATATATATATATATATATATATATATATATATATATATAATTAAAAATATTAAAAACATAGCGTGGCATTGATAATATTAGCTCTCTTTAGTTTCACTTATAAACCAAAGTTTTGAATATGCTCAGTTTCCGGATGCACTAAAGATGTGTGTTAATGAAACCAATATTTAAAAAAGACGACCCTCTAACGCTCAGTAACTATCGATATATACTATGTTAAAATATTTGAGAAAGCCATGTGTAACCGACACTATCATTATTTAGAAAAATATAATACTTAGGACACTCAATAATTTTTGAGATACACAAAAGGTATTCTAGATACTATTAATATTTATTTTACATCTTTTCAAAATATTCTCCATCATGCTCTTACAAAGTTCTATTCGCCTAAACCAACTCTGAAAACACTTTTATCAGTCTTGATCTGACAGGTCGGAAATCGCTTCTTCGTAAGCAGCCACGGCTTCTTCGGCGCTTGAAAAAAAAACTTGCCTTTTATTTCTTCTTTGACTCTTGGGAACATCAAGAAATCACAAGGAGCTAAGTCAGGGCTGTAGGGTGGGTGACTTAGAGTTTCAACACATTATTCCTCAATAAATGCTTTTGTTCTAAGGTATGTGATGATGGTTGTGATACATAAGTGGTTTTTTTTCCGCAGTGAAAATTAGGTATTTAGTATAGAGTTGTGACTACATTTTCCAGAGTTGATGTCGAAAAATGTCTCTCTGCTAAAAAAAGTTTTTTCTTCTGAGTAGACCCATATAGATGATTGCCTTTTATTTTCCGGATCATATTGATAGATCCATGTCTCGTCACCAGAAACGATTTCTGAAACACGCCTAGATGCCTCGTTTTCAAAACGTAGACGCATTTCATTGCACCAATCCACACGAGTCTGTTTTTTGCTTTCGGAGAGCAAACGAGGGATCCATCGACAACAAAGCTTCCTCACTCCAAGTTGTTGATGTAGGATGGTATGAATGCTCCCCGAACTAATGCCCACAATTTTTTTGTCCATATATGTGATTCGTGGGTCTTCTCGCACCAAAATTTTAGTAGTCCATGCATTTTCTGCCGTTACTGCTGTTTGCGGGGCCCTAGTTCTTTGGTCGCCTTTATGGTTAATTTTACCCCTTTTGAATTCAGCAAACCACCTAAAAATTGTTGCGCGTGATGGAGCTGAGTCCCCTGATGCTGATTATAACCATTGTAAACTTAATTTTTCGGTTAAACCAAATTTAATATCATAATAGATCATAGCGCGCAAATGTTCACGGTTAAGATCCATCGTTTTAAATGAAAAGCGTTGCAAGAAAATTAATAGAAGTTTCTTTTTTTAAATATTGAGCAATTGGCAGCTTGCAAATGTTTATAGTTTCAAAGGTAAAGAACATGTAAAACAAAAAACACGAAACTGAACCGCTAAAATTCAAAACCGATTCAACTTAAGTGGTTGTACAGCTCCATGTTATGTCCCTCTGCAAACTTTAGGTATTTTCACACACCCAATTCCGATCTCTGATTATGACTAATGATTACTAATGATTGTATAGATAAACTAAATTAAGATAGCTACTAAACTATGTTTTATCAAAATATACTCTGACCTGGGTATTGCGTTTTTGTATAAACACAAATTGGTAATAGGTACTTAGATTGATGTTTTAACTTAAAGTAAAAGTAAAGTTACAGCCTATATACGTCCCACTGCTGGGCTCAGGCCTCCCCTCATTTCTGAGAGGGTTTATGGTAAGGAAGTGTCCGCCGCGCTGCCCAAAAGCGTGTTGTCGAACTTCACATGTCCTCGAAATATTTTTTTTCTTATTCCTCAGACATACCGGTTTCCTCACGATGTTTTCCTTCACCGCCAGGCACGTGGTAAATCAGCACTTAAAATTGCAATTAACAATTTCATTGGTGCCGGCGGGGATCGAACCCGGGTTACTCGCGTTCTGTTATATTTACAGCGAGCGTTAACCACTGAGCTACCACGGCTAATGTTTTAACTTGTTTGTTCAAAAAACAGACTTTAGTAAAATGATGGCAAAGTGGAGGTTCAAATTAAGGATAACAAACGAGCACACACTCCACCTAATAGTAAAGTGTGGCCCATACATCTTCATCTATATTAGAATACGAAACAAAACGCAGTTGCGTTGTCTCCCCTGAGGACTAAGATGTAATGTCTTATTGGCAGTATAAGGGTCTCCGGTTCTTGTCACTCACCGTACAAATCACAGCAGCCTTACGCTGCTCTTTCACGCTATTGTGCGAGCGTGGTTCTTCCCCGAACGTGGATAATAAAGAAATAATAGAACGAGTCACGTGAATGGCGCGTCGAAAATAAAAACAAATTTTTATAAAAAAAAATATATGTTAAAATTTCTGTATTCATATCTAGGATTTTAAATCTATACTGCCTTTACAGATTACAAAAGTTTGACCTATGAACATAGGCGTTTCCCGGTAATTACCTCATAGGGGCGATTTTGATTTTGCCATAGTTGTCTCGTTGAGAGTTGGCAAACACAATTAATTTTGAGTTGTTATCTGGCAAACGCTACTGCCCACCCCCTGCGTCACTTTCCGTCCGTCGTCTTTTACGACAGCCACGGCACGATATGGAGTAGTGGATATTCTTACGCCGTAAACTGGTTGATTTTTATCTATTGTTAAATTATTATCGGCAGGTGCTTGTTCAAAGCTGCGATAAGTTTCACGAGAGAGATCTCTACGCCTACCTGCAGGTGTTTCTCACTTTCATCACTCGTATTCGAAAGTGGTTTCACGTAGAAGAAGATTCAAAAACAACTCCACATAATAGAACAGAAAACTTCAGTGTGCTCAAAGATGTTATAGAGTTTGCCAAGAACAAAGAAGAAGCGGAGAGATTGCTAAGCAAGGAAGAGTTCGAGGAGGATAGCGGAAAGAGTGTGGAGGAGATGTACAGAGAAGATTTGAAGAAGAAAGAAGAAGATGTGTTAGATTATGACGACAGAGTTACATGTAAGTTTTAATATATTTTATTTTTATTCAGATTCGTCCATTGAGGTGATAATATTACAATAATGTATTGTTATAATTTGGTCTTATTGTAACAAAATATTTAAAGACACTTCAATGAATTAAATCATAATACCATGTGTACACTACGTTTACCTTTTTAAATGAAGTCTCGACCCACGTCACGGAATACCAGGTTGAAATAGCAACTTAAAGCTGCTGAATTGCGTATGGCGAATGTAGAGAAATGCAGACCCTTTTTAGTGGTAACGAGGCAGTCTATTTTTATCCTCAAGGGTGACAATGCATTTGCATTTTGATTCATAATGGAGAATATATGAGCCACAGCATCCACTTACCATCACGTGGACTGTGTGCTCGTTTCATGCTTACTTTAAAAAACTTCCTCATAATTGCAGAACTCCTACTATTTGCAAATGTATTCAGGATGCTGTTGGTAGAGGTATGAGGCACAAGTTTTATTATACTGAATCCGTAGGATGTTGTATGCCCGGTGCGTATATCAATCCTAAAGCTGCACGTGCAAAAAGCACTGAATCGTGCCGACTCGTTCGTGCTGCAGCCATGTCAGCTTGCTCACGAAGTGTAGTGATTATAGTATATCCTCTTAATTTAACTAGAATAAATTAATGTAAGGCAATACAACAATTAAGCACTATCTGTCTGTCCTGGCATAAATTGTAAAGACCTTATTAAATAATAATTTACTTGCTTTTACTTTTTAATTTATATATACAAGTTTAATTTTTAACCCTTCTGTACGTACAAAAACTTAATAGTTAATCAGAATAGTTGGTTTGTACTTTTTCTTCAAATTTAAATTTGGCCACCTTTTATAAAAACCAATCGCTAAAATTGGTTTATAATTGGTTTAAAATATCTGTTCAAAATATCGCATAATACACAAAAAAAGGCGCTAAGTTGACTTCTTTTTTGGAGTCGGCTAAAAATTTAGAGGTAGTTTTTTTTAAATATAGGTATAAGTGCTAATATTACTAATGTACTCGTACATAATATATTTTTTACACTTACGTAATGTATTCTGTATTTCAAAGAGAATGGAAGATATAGGTTGCGTCACGGTTTAATAGGGCTAACCTTGAATGCGCAGAAATCGATTTTTAGATCTGTTTAGCGAACGGAATGACATGCGACAGGAGAAGCGCTCGGCGCCGGCGTTCTATTGGTCGCTCAGTCGCCTTCCCCAACGCTTTGCTCCGTTCACACGTCGCTAAGGCCCTTAGAGTACAGTCGCACATAATATCATTGTTTCTATACGTTTGATAATCACTTTTTCATGTCTAGTATGAAAGATGCCGACAAAAATGTTTTAACTAAGCAAGCTAGAAAATGGTGTATGACCGGAATTGTTTTGTTTAAAAAAAGACAATTGAAATTATTAATAATTTAAAACAGGTAAACAACACAGCAGCATACAACTCGTTTTTTTTTTCTTAAATATGAGATATTTGGTTCTTAGAATTTCATCCGCTCGCTCCTTCTCTCCGTTATAACAACACTTCATAATTCTGTGCACGAATGTACACTTGCGCAGAGCGCCCCTCCACTTTCGCCAAGCGCTATTAAACCGTGACGCGACCTACATTTTATCTTATCGCGTGACGTATAGTGTACAGTCTTGGGAATACTGTATCTTATTAATTTAGTATGTTGTTGTTAAGTCCACAACAGTCTATAATATTGGTTGAAATAAATGAAGAAACGTGGCGTGTAAACGGAGATATATTTGCGACTGTTTTTGAACGTGGCGGACGCAGCCGCCACACATATAACTATTATACATATTACGTATACATGTAGTAGTTATAATTAAATAAGTATGGGCATGGCATAAGACACCGGACGCGCGATCTAAAGAACTAGGTATATTACACCGGCCGTGATCTATATTGTGTCCCTACATATATCTTTAGATGTTTCCTGTATTAATTACGCCGTCCCATAAAAAGTTAACAATTGCCGTATAAAATCTTAATTAATAAAAAGTACTTTTATAAAAAAGTGTGACAAGCGATCACGTCCACCTGATGGTAAGTGGAATGCCTCCTTACCACTAAAAGAGGTCTTCATTTTTCTACATTTATTGCCACGAATTAGCAGTGCACTAAATGGTATAGTAAGCCAGTTGATTACAGGTTGTGAGGCTGTTAAGGAAGAAATGTAAGTCCTCAGAGATGACAACATATCTGTGACGTTCTTTGATAAAAGTTAACTGCATGTGCTCATTAACTGCAGTATCCGCTTACCATCAGGAAGACTGTACATTCGTTTGTCACTTTATTTTATTTATTTAAAAAAAAACACTCGCCATAACAGCATTATTCTGCTGATTCACGCTGGTATTGTGAGAGCGTGGTTCAGCCAGGGCTGAGCGGACGCATTTGTATTGCAACTATAATATAGCTAGAGTGTGGATCTACGTATCGACTTTATTTCCAGACGAATCCCCACCGTTGCCGCGACACGTCACTGTTACCGTGTCGATACTTAAAAGATGCATCAATTTTATCACATCCAAGCAACGTGACGACGCCATCTTGGCCTTGAAAGTCCTGTCGCTAGGATTGCCCATCTTGAAGCATCACGAGAACGAGCTGCTGCCACTAGTGCACCTGACGTGGGCTCCGCTCTGTACTAAAGTCGGGGCAGAGCCGGCTGTAGCGAGGGCCGCTTTGGATCTTCTGGTTACGATGGCAACGCTTTCGAAAGACTTCATACGGAATCGCGCTATGAAGTGAGTAAACTTTTATCTGTATAATATGGTAAATGACAACAGATATAGAAGTATGTTTCAAATTAATATTTCATTTTTGAAAAAAAAAATTTCCGCTTTGAGCCATCTTAAATATATTCTGGTCTTCTTTTTTTCTTGAATCAATCTTTTTAACTTTGACTTTGCCAATAGTGGTGATTTATGCAAATTGTAATAAAGAAATAAATAATGGTAATTTGATTGGTACAGGTTTCCGCTCTTGAATATTCAGTTATAATTTAAAATTTTCTTCTGCAGAGACGTCTTCCCCCACATGTACAAATATTTGCGAAGCAGTTCGCACGACAGTCTCCTAAAGGACCGTGGCTCCACGTATCGACTGAGCCCGGCCTACCGGTTGCAGGAGGCAATGTTGGCAGCCCTGCCCGGCCTCGTTGTGGATCTGAGCCTGGACGAGGCTGGACTCGAAGAGGCCATGTCCTGTGTGGACACTTACTTGTCTAAGAAACAGCCGAAGCCTTTGCAGGTGAGTCCCTGATATATGAGTATAACGATATTATAGTCTTGTATCATTAGAAATAATAAAACAAAGACTCTTTTTTTCTGTAAAAAAAGTAAATAACGTTTAAAGCCTTTATTTCGGGTCTTTTTATATCTTTGTCTTGCTCACAATAGGTAGTTATTTATTTCGTTTAACGTCACCACTGTCAGTTATGACGACTAGACTTTTGATATAACACGGCAAACACAAACTTAGAAAAGCGCTCGTATATGTGTGAAGTAAATTTTCTTTACACGAATAATAAAAATCCCGTTTCTAAACTTTCTGATACATTCAAACTGAAATTATTATGCTGTTCTTACTTTTATTCTTCTTCTTTGTCAGCTCGTAAAAGTCATAGATACAGCGACTAAAGCAGAATTGTACAATAATGTAAATACAAAAAAATATTGCTCAATAATGCTGTAGTATTTTAGATCTTTAATCTTTTCAGCCTCGACAATCTTTTAATATCACATCACAATACATTGCTGGTCCGCCTTTGAGATTTGACATGAAATTTATAACATAATAAATTGCTAATACAATTGATACATGCAGGGTGAGCAAAATTGCCGATTACGATGACAAATTGATCTAATCTTTCACACACAACAAGTATACAATCACTTCTCACTCACTCTTTCAATGAAAAAATACTAGAACACTCGTAATTAACAATATGTCCAAAGGAGAAAAGGCTCTTTGCATGTAGACATAAGATGGCGTTTTGCTTGCATTAATTAATGTGAGCGTTGTCCTATTCTTACGCCTACACCCTACACATTTTATTAACTTATTAACTTAGGGAACGTTCTCGTGCAACGTTAACTGGCTGTCGTATATCATCTTTGACATGAAATAATGGATGAAATTTTATGATAATTTAAAATTGTCACTATAAATTATACATAATCATTCTTAGCACAAAAATAATATAGATGTTCGAAACATCTGGTGCTGCGATTGACAATCTACCTTAAAAATTGGAGGCGATTGTAACAAATTCTTCTTAGTTTACTATGTAAGATCTATTATTAAGAAGGCTCTTACAAGAAAAAACGCGAAATCGCAAGGTTTCCTCGCTTATTTTTAATTTAAATTTTTTCTAATGTAAGAAAATAATGGTTACTTACATTTGTATTTTTTATTTTATATAAAAGAGTTGCAACCGTACTATTTATTTATTTACGCATCCATAAAAGATACACACAAATACATGAAAGATTGGCAGACACATACGATTCCAGTATATTAAATTCGATGGTCAAAAAGTTATTGTAAAGGTAAATAAGGCTTTATTTTTCAAAGAAATCTATTTGAGTACACCTGAAAACTAAGTGCTTAATGTGGTCGAATTTTACTTTTTAATAATGCATCTTTAGTAAACGCGCAGGATTACATTATTTTTTTACACTTGAGACATACACTTGGAACCATAAATACTAAAGTAAACAATCAGCACCATAAACATCTGTGGTTTGCGCGTAGGTAGCAAACAGTTCTAATCCTAAATAATCCTTTTACCTTAGTAATACCTGATTGGTTGTAAAACACGTGCTTTCGTTTTTGATCGCACAAAAATTACTTTAACAAATGATTAAACGTAACAACAAATTAAACTTTTAAATAATACGAATAGCGCAAACTATAATATTCTCCTTTAAAATATATTACATAAGTAATTTCATATTATCAAATAGTACCATAATATTTCGATTTCTGAGTATGGAGCACGATTTTCAGTCCACTTATACTACGGATGTCAGTTATCAATCGATTACTGCGTAAGATTAAAAAAAGTATACTTAAATAATGAAAAATATGTATATCAAAACAAATTATAATATTAAATAACATTAAAACGTGACATAAAAAGTTTTTCATCCACCTAACTCAAGATCAAGATCAAGATCGTTTAGTCGCCGTACTCGCAATATTATTATGCGAGTGAGTAAGTCTATATGAAAGAAAGTATCGGTCGCGTAGCTTGCCGCCCGCTCGGTAACTCAGCGTAACACCGAAATGTAAGAGCCCTCCTATGCAAAAATTGTTTAGTAAGTGTTATTGTACTACTAAAGAGGACATGATTGATAATAAACCCTGGGAATATGGTGATCGCTACCGTGCTGTTTCTAAATGTATTCGTACTAATTGTATAAAATAATATATTATAAATTAATTTTATTGAAAAACAAATCCCGCTGGGTTTCTTGCTGGTTCTTCCCAAGACAGTATTCTTATAAACTATATTGAACAAAAATGATTCTATTCTATTATATTCAAGTCCTGGTGTAGAAAGTACGGGCTGGTGAACTTGCAATGCTGGTAAGAAGGTCATAACATAACCTTACAATCCTCTTCTAGGGATTGGCGGTAATCTTCTTTAAACACATATTGGCGAGCAACTACGGAGCCGTTTGGTGTCACCTGAGGAAACTCTGCGCTAACGACGACGTGATAGAACCACCCGCCATGAAGTACATCAAACTGGAGCCTGTTGTCGGCACGCCATATAGATCCACCAATGTGGATTGTGAAAAAAATATCAAATTAATATTCGAAATAGATTAAGTAAGATACATAATAAATAATTATTAGCTGTACCTACTTACTCTTTTTATTCTTTTTTTAAACGTTACCCCCAACAATAGTTTCTCCTGTATCGTGGAGGCGGTTTACATAAATAAATTTCACAAGAACATACATCCAGACCTGGAACAGTTATTTGTTGGCCATACAAACACTTTTACATTACACAAGAGTTACATACATGTTTTATTGTAATTTCCGCTAGGTACAAGAACTAACGATTTCACACCCACGGGGAAAAACAGGGTGACGGTATTACTGGTTTAACCTTTGGGCGCCAAAGTCGCCTATACTTGACCAGCACCTGCGGGCCCTGAGCGCCAACGACGTCTATAGTTGACAAAAAACCCGGTCCACAAAAATATGAAATATAGATATTGTAAAATTATTACTGATATTTTAATTCTACACTTCTCAAAAAAGAATAACCCAGCAATATGTAAATATAAAAAACAAATCTCCTAGAGCCACAAGTACTAAAAAACATTGGAAAAAAATGGATATTTATCTAAGCAAATACCATATCCAGCATGCCAAAGTCGTCTATGTTTGATCGCCAGTGTTGTAATGCGTTAGGCATAGATTTATTGAAAACTATTCAAAATTAAACGCAAAAATGTTATTTTTTAAATTTTTATTGATATTTGAATAAAACAAAAGGTAAAAAACATAAAACTATCGTCAGCTACATAAATAAAAGAAAATTTCATCAAATCGACTTCGCATAATAAATCTAATAACTCTGGCGCATCCTTAGCGCGTCATCGATTGTCACTTCATTGGGCGCCGTGGTCAAGAATAGACGACACCCTGATACGTCATAAACGAATAGCGTAAAAAGTAGTGCAGTGCAACATGAACGATTCCTCAGAACTCATTTGCATTTTGGAAAGCGTCGATGATTATTATTTTTTTTATTTTATTATAATATAAAATCTGTTACATCACTGTACACATTGAATAAAAATAATTTACCAAAAAGTAAAGTAGTTTTAATCAATGTGTACAGTGTTCGCGTAAATATAATAAATCATTGGGTATTTTTATATTAAAAAACATACAAAAAAAGTCCTTACATATAATTCTGCCGTCCAAAATCTAAAGGAACGTTCATTAACACTACGCTGATTCCCGTTATATGCGGAAAATTATGTAGACTGTTCCCTAATATTTTACGCATACCGGAAGAGGATTTCGTGGCTGTAAGTTTGAATATACTTGGTTTTTTTACGATCTGTTTATATCGCGCTGGCCCGAACGAACGAACCCGATAACTGCAGTTCGGGCTCTCTGTGTTCTCTTTCAAAACTGTTTTTCAAAATCAATTCAAGGCCCTCATGTACTACGGTGTGTAGGTATAAAAACGTTACCTCGTTCTTCCCAATTTTTGAGCGAATTAGTGGCTAGTGCGGGAAACATTTTAGAAAAAAAAGCAACGTACGAGGTTTATAAAAAATAAAAGGTCTTTGAATAATAAATAGGGCGACAGTATCAATGCGGAATATTTCGTTAGCTAATAGGTTCATCATACACGTATCACACTTTAAAATATATAACTCTAAGGAAAAGCTGTTAGGCATATTAGCTATTATTCGCTTTGTTTAAAAATGTTTCCAATATGTCAAGTAAATTAACAGGTGCGTTTTTTACTGTATACTAGGTTATAGTAGTAGGTAAATAGTTAAAGAGGGTAATTCCTTAAACTATTTCTGCAATCACCTGAAGGGTTTAAAGTGAGCCAGTATAATTACAGGTGAGGTATACCACCTTAATCCTCGGAGGTGACAACGCATTCCATGGAGGTTAGAGAGAAGGAGAACGATCGCTACGTGCTAAAGCATAGCCCGCCTGTCCCTGAACTGCCGTCGGTAAGTAGTATCAGCGAAGTTAGCTGTTTATGAGTACAAGTAGATGAAGTTAGTTGAATAATGTACAAATCTTCGCGACATTGGTGAGAAAATAATCGTGCTCCGTGATTTTTTAATTTTTGACAAAAAGAAACATTAAAAAATGGTGAAATATTGTATTGTGCGTGGTTGTGCAAATGGTTTAGCATCTGATTGAAAAAATAGACTGAAAATGACTTATTGAGACAACTTAGCGATTGCAGCGCCTCACTTATTTTGTCCATATTTCTGGGACACTATTTTCTACAGCTATCGTTCTCCTTCTCTCTAACCTTCATGACGCATTCTTTCATCCTTCGTTTGAAGTTGGCTTTATGGACTACAACTTACCATCAGGTGAACCGTAAGCTCGTTTGTCACTTGTTTTATTTTTTAAAAAAAAACATACTTTTCGCGTTCGCCAATATGATGATATAACTTTAAAATTGTAAATAGATTCTACCGAATTTTATTAACCTTTATCTAACCACTAGGTTCGTGGTGCTTCAAAATGAGTATTTTTATTATAGTATTTTGCAAAAACATTGCTACGGGACCCAAAATTCTCTTATTACGATGAAAAAACTTAGGAGTGTGCTTTTTAATCCCGTGTGGTGGCGATGTAAAATAATCCATCGCCAAATTACGTACAGGCGTGAAATGCGGGCCTTGGAAAAAACCAAAAAAATTAAAAGTATTTTGATTAATTATTCGCAATATTGCTGACACATAGCTGGTTATACTACTGCAGTGATCATATTATTGTTCATAATCGTATAAACACAACAAAAATAAAGGCCTATTTTTGTAACTAACTAAAGAATTCCTTTAGCCGCAGCGCCAGTGTTCGCGATACTTCATTTGTTTCAATTTAAAATTCAATTTCATCATCAAACTCTATTCATTTTAGTTTGCATATTTCTGCGAGACTTCTTTCATGAAACAGATTTTAGTTTAAACCTGAGATTGAATAGGTTATTCCGTTTATCCACCCTTAAACAGTAAAACCAAAGATAAAATAAGTTAAATTATTTTAGTTATTATTTATAATTGGTGAAATAAAGGAGTATACATACATGTGTCAGGACGGATTTTTAAAGTGAATAAACGGAATATCCCGACTAAATATAAACTATTTTATGGAATAAGGCCGATAAAAAGTTGACGATTAATTTAATTAATTACTTACTTCCAAAAAGCGGACCCGAAATCAGCTCACCTCTAAATATATGTATGTGAAATTTTATTTAGTAATGCAACATTATAATTCTCTAGTATTAAATGTACTTTACAAACTGAAATGAGAAATATTTAACATATACAGTAATAATTCAGTGGACTACTAGAAATACTTTACCGTGTAGTGGCGTGAGAGAATCTGCTACACCATGTCATCATGAAACATGAGTAGATAACATCATGTTCCTGATAACAACATAAAAATAAGGAAAAACTGCGGTTGCTACTAATTTGTCAAGCGTGACAACTATTACAAATATCACCTCGAATGCCACGTTTACACTCAGCCTTGATAAGTAGCAAGCGGGCAGCGCGTATAAGTAAATAGGCTATTCGCGCTGTCGCTTCCATTGCCCGGCGCTCCGAACGTCGGAATTTTGCGCAGAAGTCAAAGGATGGGCAACGCGAGCGGGAGCGAGTGTTTACATTCTCGCTCACTTGCCGCCGAAATTCGACCGAGATAGAACGTGCAAAAACGAAAATTCGTTTATTAATCTGTCCTGTGTTTTAATGTATTTAGTAATGATGAAACAATAAAATTTTTAGAACTTTATAAAACTGAGCGGGTAATATGGGATCCTCATGATAAAAACCACAAATTGCACGTAATAGCTACTTATACTGAGCAGATATAAAGCTGTCACACCAACAAACTCGACGTCAGTCATTGTTGCGAGTTGGTCGATGAAGAAGTATGAATGCTGAGTGTAAACTCCCACTCGCATCGTTATTGCCGCAGAAGTATTTGGAGAAATATTTCCGGCAGCGACAGGAGCAGTAGCAGTGGCTGAGTCTAAATATGGCATAAAAGATAATCTACACGGGACACTTACGTTCTTTATTTTTTAATTAAGATTTTTAGCTTGGACGCTTGTCTTTTAAGCCATGTCTTCATTTCATTAGGGATCTTCATTTTTATAGATTTTTTTGACAATATACTGAAACGTCCACATTGCGAAGTTCTTGGGAGATTTTGACAACAGCTCAACCAACGTCTTGTGAACTCAACAGCTCAAACGGTTAAGCTGTTGAGTTCACAAGGCGCCTAAGCGTACACAATAACCTGAGGTTTATATCAACATCGAAGCACTTGGTTTCGTCGTTTTCTCCAATAGTTCACATGCGACTTAATACAAAATCGCATCACTTTTACGTATCAAAATCCATTTCAAACCATTATTTAAACGATAAAACAGGAGCAACAAATTGTCGACGACCAAGTTTCCGCCAAAACTCTGAGGTCTATATACAGCAGTGTACTTAGTAAGGATGTAATGATGATGACGGACTACTAGAAGTCTTAAATAAGCAATGCATTCAAATTGTTATTTGAATTTTATTTTTCTAGAGATGATAATTGATATAATCTATTTGTCTTTGAAATATAGTAACCATGTCGTAAATAATATAACAATGAATAGGTTTAAATTTAAAAAATTACTAACATAATACTTTGGACCTTAAATGCTAAGTAACAATCTTGTAACGAGAAAATATTATAAAGAACGCTGATGATGAATAAAGACCGACGCAAGACGAAAATTCACTTTGGATTCTTCATATAATGTACATAAGAAAATTTTCAACTACCCCGTGCTGAACACTGACAAAGTTGTACACAAAATTAGTTTATTTGATATCGAATAAAGCAAATATTGAAAATGGCGGATAAATAACGCGGAAAAATCAATCTTCACAGTAACACATTATTATAAACTATAAGTAAAATTTAAGAGTGAAAGCAAACAGCATTATGCACTATCACTATATACTGTCATCATTAATAATAGAAAAATATTGGAGAGGGCGGTAAGACTACACCAATGCACAAACACAAAAAACAAACATACACAAATG